AATGCTCGCAAAAATTAATCGCTCAATTTAAGATTATCAGCAAGATTATTTTAAAGAATAATCTGGAAAATGTATTTTTCCATCTATAAAGATGTCTATATATAGTGTTAGATATGCATGTGTGCTATATCAACATATCTGGGTGCGATTTAAATTAGTTTAATGTGGGTGGACACGCAAAACATTCGCAGTGCATTGAACCAGTGCATTGTTAATGCATATTGCATTTGAATGTGACAGGTGAATGCATTATGGCACAAAATTTTCCGTCTAGTCCAGCTCGCCTGACAGCCTGAACACCTAGGAGGGGGGGCGGAGGTACGCCGAATATGGATCAAGATTAGACAGCAATATATGGGTAAAGAGCATGACAAATGATGGACATCTAAATAGACAGCGGCAAACTAATTAGAGTTAATAAATTTTCAGGAAAACCAAAATGAGCGCTAGGGTTAGAAATGGCTAGAAATGTGATCTAAACTATATTGGAATCGATGCATATGACTAATGAACCCGTAATGGTCGTCTATTCCAGCTAATCGAAATCTTTTGTCTGGCCAACTGGCGCCGGTGCGTGCCTTTAGCGAAAACGGACATGGGGACAGCGCGCAGAGCAAGCAGGCGCCCTACGAGAACATCAACTCCAATCTAATTGGCGTGCAGTCCAAGTAGGTGAACAGCTGGAGCTCTACAGACAGAAGAACTTATTTCATATTTTCGCAACTTTTGCAGATTTCGTCGCAGATATTATCACAAGGTAGTGCTGGGCCTGCTGGCAGCACTCGTAGTCGTTCTGCTCATAACAATCATAGTCTTAAGCGTAACTTGTGAGTAGCCGAGCCGATGAGCAGTGATGAATCGTTTCATTTGATGCTCAATCATTCATGATTTTCAGTTAGGAAATCTAGTCATATATGCCGGAGCAAGGAGTGCATCCGCACAGCGGCGAGCCTCATCTATGCCATGGACGAACAGACTGATCCCTGCGAGGACTTTTACAAATTCACCTGCGGCCGCTGGGCCGACGAGCATCCGCGTCCCGACTCGGCCACATCGAACGATTGGTTCCGCGAGCGGCAGGCGCATATAATGCGCTTGGTTCGCTCCTTTCTGCAGTCGAACATCAGCAGCGCCGAGCCAGCTGCCGTGGGCATGGCCAAGACGGTGTACCGCGGCTGCATGAACACGGAGCTGCTGGACGAGCGCGATCTGGAGCCGCTTGTGCAGTACCTGCAACGGTTCAAGCTGCTGCTGCTGCCCTCGGCTCTAAATCTAACTCTGAGCAGTGCCTCGAAATATGCCGCAGAGCCGAGAAACTACACTTACAACTGGCTGGACACGATAGTGGCCATCAAGCGTCACCTGAGTCTGGACCTTATAGTGGGCTTCGATGTGTTTCCCGATCCCCTGAATCGAACGCTCAATCGCATTGCACTGGGCACGCCCGAAACGGAGTCCGCGTTTCCCTTGTGGGTGGCAGAGATTCGACCCTAAGTTGATGTTCTATTCACTCTCTCAAATTGAATTTCAGCAACAATGACGACTCCCACAAGATGCTGCGCAGGATTCACAAACGCACCATTTACATGCACGATATGGACGAGAGCGATGATAGTGATGAGCACGACATGGAAGAGGAGGAGGAGGAGGCCAGCAAGCAGACCAGCTCCGGCATGTCCGCCTATGTGATGTACGTGCGCAAGGTCATCGAGAAGTACTTGCTCTATGTGGACCCCGAAGTCAATCAGGAGGAGGCCACGCTGGGCATCAAGGAGCTGGTGATGCAGGCCGTCAAGGTGGCACGCAAAATTCATAAGGTTAGCCGGCTCATCTCTCACACGAAACACTTTACATTAATGAGATTCCCTTCTGCAGCTGAAGGAGGAGGCGGAGAACATAACGAAGCCATCCAGTAATCCCGTCGAGGATATCATATACATCTCATTAGTGAAGCTGCAGAATGAGACGGATAAGAACATTGCGCCCCAAACGATGCCCATTTGGCTGCGCTACATGCAGCTGATGCTGACGGACACCAAGCACGCATCCACAATGGACATCAAGAATACGACCGTTATAACCAGCCAGGCGGACATATACTATCTGCAGAACGTTGTGGAATATCTGCACGAAACGCCCGCCATGCACATCGAATCCTATTTGTGGCTGAGCGCCCTCGAGGAGCTGGTGCTGCACACGACCAGCGACATGCGGCTGCTGCACGCCGAGTACATGCGATTCGTCATCGGCACCGAGGGCAGCACTCCCCGCTCCCTCTACTGTGCCCACGGCGTGAACACGCTCTTTGGCATGGCCGTGAGCTATGTGCTGGCGGATGAGCGCTTCACGGTGCACACTTTGCCGCGCGTCGAGCGCATGCTGAGCGATATACGGCGCTCGTTCGATAAACTGGTGCGCGCCACCAGCTGGATGGACGCGGCCACCAAGCGGCAGACAATGCAGAAGTCGGCCGAAATGAAGAGCTTCATTGGCTTCCCCCCGTGGCTGACCAATGAGACCGCCCTCAATGCCTACTACGAGGGCGTCCAGGTCAATGCGAGCACCCATCTGGAGAATCTAATGGGCTTCGTGCACTGGCAAATGCTCGCCAAAATCAATAACATGGACCAGCCGGAGCCCATCGGCTGGGCGACAGCGCCATCGAATGTGAATGCTTTCCATACGTTTCAATCGAATGCCATTAGTAAGTTGAATGCATTCGTGCGGTCACTTTTAATCAGTTCATTGCATCCATTACGTTCATTAAAAGTGGTTACTACATAGACTATATGTATTGAACGTGTGGAAATCCGTGCGTCAGCTGGCAGGAGATTGTGTTTTTTAATAACATTGAAGATTAAAGCAAGTAAATTATAGATTATGATTTCAGGCGATGGTAGATTATTTCTGATTTATGCCTTTCATTTGAATGGTAACGAATTAAGGAGAAAATATTGTAATTAGTGTAAAAGAATCCATTGGCAATGATTTCAATATTATCAACTTAGTTCCTTATAAGTATAAGCGTAGAATGATGAGCTTTAGTATAGCTCAAGTGCTATTATATCCAGTTACAAGATATCTATTCCAGTCAGACAATCGTATAGGCGTATCGTATAGTCAATCTTTTAAAATTAAAGGATATCAGCCAGTCAGTCATATTTTTGCATCTAGGCACAGGGTATATCTCTTATAGCTTCCATTTCTAGTAGTATGACAGAATTCTTACCAGCAGGATGACACTATTAAAATTTGTTACGCTAATTCCAGAGTATCTGTTAGTCTGACACTCAGAATTTTATTTTTCATTATGCGATATAATAGAATTAATAGATATAATAAATACAAAAGATATCACATAATACACTCAAAGATTATTTAAAAGTTGCTTCCAGGGTATTCACCAGTCTGTCAATATCATACTTTCATAGGATACCCACTAGTCCAACAATATCAGAGAACTGTTTTATAAGCTAGTTACAGGGTATATGCCAGTAAAGCAACGTAATATAATATACTTTAATTACCTTTATAAGCGATTTATATACCATCTAGTCGGACAACATCATTTATAAACTAGTTTGGGGTCCGAAGCAGTCAGGCATTGTCTCATTAGTGGTAATCTCTTTATTGTCTTCCATTGCAGCTGTGCCCATTGCCATCCTGCAATATCCGTTCTACAACCTTGGCCTCGAGTAAGTTGGAATAGTTACGCCCCTAATCAAGCACTGGTTTCCATTCCCTGCACCACGCACTCTCCGCACTCTTCGCAGTCGCGCACTGACCGCTGTCCATTCCGCACTCAATCTTGGCGCTTTAATCCCTTAAGATAGCCACTGAATTACATTTGTTCGAACGCATCCTTCTTAGAGCCTTGAATTACGGCTCGATTGGTACGATATTGGGCCACGAGCTGACGCACGGCTTTGACGACAGCGGCCGGCGCTTCGACAAGGAGGGCAACATGGTCGAGTGGTGGTCGAATCAGACAATCAACGAGTACGTCAATCGCACCGAATGCTTCGTGGAGCAGTACAGTCGTTACTATCTGCCGGATATTGGGGAATACGTAAGCATGGCAACGGCAGCGGCAGCGGCAACGAAGCGCCCCTAATCAATACACAAATCTCGACGTGCTTTCAGATTGATGGCGAGCTGACGCTGGGCGAGAACATTGCGGACAATGGCGGCATGCGGGAGGCCTATATGGCGTATCGCCTCTATGTGAAGGAGGTGGGCCGCGAGCGCCTGAAACTGCCCGGCCTGGAGCACTACACGCACGACCAGCTCTTCTTCATAGCGTTCGGCAATCTGTGGTGCGAGACATATACGCCAGCCGCATCGCGGTATGCGCTCGAGGATTCGCACTGTCCGGGCCAGATGCGGCTCAAAGGCGTTCTATCCAACTCCGAGGAGTTTGCGCGCACATTCAAATGCCGGCGGGGCACATCCATGAATCCGGATCAGCCCAAATGTCGCATCTGGTGATGGACAACGAACAGCAGTCGAGTGATTTTTCTACATCAATTTCTATGTGTATTATGCAGCTAATGCGTTTTTGCGTTTTTTGGTAATGGTATTAGGCCAATAAATGGAATTTTCTAATGCAGTTACAAATGCTGTTAATGTATAATGGCAGCTACGGCAATTTAATTACGAGCCACGCTGCGTATGCGTAATCTATAATGAATGCTGCGCTCAAAAGCAGGCAACACATTTTGCGCCTGAATCGCGACATTATTAGAAAATGTTGCATACTTTTGTGCGCCGAAGTAAATTAAATTTCACCTCTCTCTGTTAAATTGACTAGCTAGTGGATGATTTATTCCTATTAATTGTTATATACTTTATTGTTAATTAATTTTAATTATTATGTAAATTTTAATAATTTTCATTTTGTTTTTTGTTTTCAAGTATTTATCATTTATATTTTTTAGGCAGCCTTTACTTGTTAATTATTTATTTTTTATTCTTCCTAAATAATTCTTGTTTGCTTGCTCTGGAATTTCTATGCACATTTATTTATGATTATTTGTAATATACATTTCTATACATTTACATTGAGTTAACATCTATGCAGGAATACACTTAGCCATATAAGTATGTAGACACTCAGCTAGTTTCGTTTGGTTTTGGTTTTTCGATACGTGTGCACTAGATATCTATCAGAGGAGATTCAGCACATCTTTGGTTTAGCGACTTTGCTCAGAACTGAGTGGAGGAGCACAGGTAGCTGGCGCCATTCAGGTGAAACGAAGCAGCGGGTCGGCGCGGCTGGAGCTGGAGTTGTAGCTGGGGTTGTGGCATCTCTGCGACATCGGGAGCTACCGCAACACTGTGGTCTCCGCACATGAAAATTGGCTCTGAAAAGTGTGAATATGATACATATATTACATATATATTATTTTATATATATTATTTGTGAGAGTTCGGCTCACCATTTGCATAGAATTGGTGCGCAGCTTTCGCCTTGTGCTGATGTAGGTGGTGCAGGTGTTCACACGATGTAGGTGGAATGCATCTTCCGTTCCTTTGTTAAGTGGCGTGGAAGACACAAAAGACAGCAACAACAACAGCAGCAATTAGCAAACATTTATAAGAAAGTCTGGTTAAAATATTTGAAATTAATTTGCTATGAAATTTCATTAGTTCTGTGCCTACGCATGCAATTGATGGATCGTTCTGTGCGCTGAGAGTGTGCAACATGCTTTAAGATTTGCCTGGGAAGAGGGAGAAGTTAAGGAACTAGCTACTCAGAACAGGAACTAGCTAACGAACTATGCCGAGTTCTTGTTATTGTATAGCCTTGTAGATGGGGCAGTCGATAATAGAGTTGTGGCAGGAGAGCGTAAAAATAGAGAGCGAAGATAAGTGATTAATGAACATATTGAGTGTATTTTATTGTGATCTATAATCCATTGAGCTAACGCAAATTGATGTAATTTATAATAATAATATTTCATTTAGGCAAAAAAATATAAATAAACTTTGAAAAAAATAAATACAATATAATATAATATGATAACTCGTGCATACAAAGTTTGCCTTTTATGTAAGGTGATTTTAAATATTATAGTATTATATGTTAATTAAAGATATAGAAACAAAATCTCGATAACTTCGGACTTGGGCAGATACAAAGAGTCAATCGATAATAGGTTCGTGTAAATAAAAAGATTCTTATCTCTTGATAAGGAAATTTGTTCTTTATAAGGCAAAGCAAGCTAGCCTTATCAGCTTAGAGCTCTTCTAATACAAGCCCAGTTCAAGCTATAGTTCCACTTTGTCTACAAGGATATACCCACTTTGGCTAGCCAAAGTACAATTTATAAATAAAATTCTTTGTATTTTCTTTTGTTTTTTTGCGACATATTAACGTCAAGACAAATAGATTTGTATAGAAATAATTAGAGTTGTAGAGAATTAGAGAAGGGAGGTGGCACCTAATGCGTATTTTAGGTTTCCTTACTAGACCATCGCCATTTCGGCGATTGTATTTGAAGGTCATCTCACCGGTAGCTTCATAGCTGCGCTCGCCGCGACTGCGCAGATAGCGGTGCAGGCAGCAGCAGCGCCGCAGTCCCGGCACGCGGTACATGATCTGTAGGAAGCCGCCGCGGAAGCGGGCGTTCATATAGCAATAGATGATGGGATTGTAGCAGCTGTGCGACATGGCCAGCCAGTGGAAGGCGAACCAGACGTACGGCAATGGTTTCCAGTTGGCGAATTCCTCATCGTTAAGCATAAGCTGCAACAGTAAGTGAGAGAGAGATAGAAAGATTCAGATTCAGGCAATTTAACTTAGATTTGTTGGCCTTACGGCTAATTTGCTGTCAGAGAAACCACCACAGTGTACCCACCTGTAGTATGTTGAAGGGCAGCCAGCAGCTTGTGAATACAATTACAACCGTCAGCATCATTTTAATCATCTGTAAGGGAAGAGCAGAAGAGAGGGAATTAGAGTGGGCGGCAATGAAACCCGTACTTTTTATGTTGAGGATGAACGAAGCTCCGGCTGCCTCGACTCAAAGGATGCTTTGACATTAGCTGTGGTTCAAAGTTCATGCACCCACCGCCCCGCCGCCTCACCGCCACAGCCACAGCCCCTTTGTCTTTGCACAGCATTTACGAGGCAACTTCAGATTGTGGCCACAATGTCTGTGCGGCCGGCTACACGTGTGTGGCAGCATGGCGTCCGTCCATTAAAACGGGGTCAACGCCTAACCTGATTTATGCGCAACGGAAGCACAGGCCAGACATACGGCCAATTTATCAGCCGCAGCGTCTACAACTTTAATCCACTGCGCACCACACGTGGCTTAAAGAGTTGCCCCCAGCAGCAGGAGCGTGTGGTCTGATGTAATGGGAGGTAAATGGGTGGCTCGCCTGGAGCTATGGACTCTTCTAATTATGAGCACATAAAGGAGTCGTACGAAGCGCAGCTGATGTCGGCTTGATAAAAGTTAAATAAACACTAAATCAAGCACGGACCACTAGTGGCTGCTAAAGTGTCTCTGTTTCGGCGAAACTTTTGGCCAATAAAAGCAATTTTAATGCGATATTTCATTGGGTAGTTGGCTGACTTTATACTCGGCACTCCGTAAAATGACGAGCCGTTAAATGGTTAAACGGTGCACGCCCAAGTTGCGCCGTGAATTTGACCTGTTCTTGGGTTAACTGCCTCGCGCAGTGGGCAGTCCACTCTGCTGACCTTTGCCCTGCTTCAATGCGAGCTTCGATGCGCTTGATTAACAGCCTGTAACTTAAATCGTATTATCGCCCTCGATTTTGCTGTGCTCTGCATTCTTTTCAGCGCAAAGTAGTTGTTGAGGTCCTCGAAGACTGTCAACTCAAAGAAAAGTTTCAGATCTGCAAGTCCTTGAACTTGCATAAATAAGCCAAAATCTTTCTTATCCTGACTGTTTTCCATTTGTTTTACTTTTAACGCTGCACTAGAAGTTTTTTTTTTTTTTTTGTAGTAACAGCTGTGTTTTTTTTTTCACTTCGGTCCAAATTAATTACTTTAAAAACAAATGTAGTTAAAATATTTGTAATTTTGTTCAAAGCCCTTCAATATTTTGGCCCAATTTAAAATATTTAAAGGCCTTTAAAGTCTTTTACTTCAAGGTTTGCTATGCTAATTTTGCATTAATGTTCACGGATACTCATTTAATTCTTAATATTATTATTATTATTATTATTATTATTATTATTATTATTATTATTATTAT